GGGGGGGGTTGCAGGTAACTACTGTTGATTCTTCTTGTTCTAAGTCTGTGCGAAGGAAAGGGTATTTATCTGTCTGTGCGTACAACTGTGACACAAGACTATGTCACGTAACGCCTAACTGCGTATCTAAATACTGCTATTTAGACACTAGCAACTTTTTCTTTTTTCTTTATACAGACCTTGCCTAGTTTTTGCCCTACTTATACTACTAAAGTGTCACGGTATCCTCCCCAGATCCCAGACATAACCGTATTAGACGCGTACTAGAGTATTATTAGTGCACGTCTGACATAAACACAACATAACACAGACATAAACTTAAGCATAAACTGCCTTAACACTAACTAAACCTAGAATAGGCTTAATTTATACCTAAAGCGCTTAGACTTCTAAGCTAAGTATTTAATTACTAATTTTCTCTTAAACTTTTCTATTCCTTACATAACATCTTATACCTACTATAATACCTTACATAGTAATTAAACTAGACCTCTGTAAAGCTCTATAACCTTACTTATATATAATTATAACATTATGTTATGTTAAAACTTTAGCTAAGAATAGCCTCTAAATCTAATCTAATAAGCTTAGTACTTATATAACTTTAAGCTATTAAAGTAAGCTAAAAAGCCTTTTAAAAAGCGCTTACTTTATAAAAAAGCTGCTATATTATAAGCTTTAAAGCTTTTTAAAAAGACTTTAAAAAATAGCTTTATGTTATTAAGTAGTCTATTTCTGCCTTAACTTTTATTATAGTAGTAGGAACTAAGAACTTACTAGCCTTAAAGCCTACTTAGAAGTCTAAAGATAGCTTAACTTTTTTCTACCTAACACTGCCTACAACCTGTAACCCTTTTAACTTAGTAATAAAATCTAACTAACTCTCTAATCCCCTACTATTTAATAGAAAACAGAAAGACTTACTTTTTTTCCTATATAAGCTTTAATATAAACTTAAAAGAAATGTAGACTAATTCCTCTCTAAACACTTTTAGTTACTATATGCTTACTTTTAACTTAACTATAATATAATAGCCTTAATTAACTTACTAATAAATAAAGATATTATTAACTTAGATTAATTTATAGTGTTTTTGTAAGTAACTTATAAAGACTTAAATAAAAAGTTAACAGCCTTAAGTTACCTAAACACTTTATAATAAAAAAAAAAAAGCTTTACTTTACACTTGTAAGAGGTATTGAGCAGGAAACATAGGTTACAGAGAGGGAATGCAGGATAGGGGGGGTAACGAGAGTAAACCTTAGGGTTGGAGGCAGAGGTACGGAGGCTGAGGAGCCTATATACCCCGTGCTAAGCCCTTAGGGTACTCAGGGGTTGGATAGCTGTAACATAACTGTGACATAGCCTCCCCTCTTCTTAGGGCTCGTCCTGAGACCTAGAAAAGGATAGGTAGTGTTAAATTCTATGTACAAAAGTAGCGTGACTAGCCTTATTAAAAACCTAGTAGGAAAAAAGAGTACATAGTTAGCCACAAAGCTTGCACTGGCCATAGGCGGACCTGCGGTGGTGACCGTACGGGTCACGCCTGGGCAGTACCCATCACTGGTGACTGAACTCTGGAAAACCTTAGTAAGGGAAAACTGTGTTAGGAGAAGTGCAACTAGGTGCTTCAGGTCAAGCCTGGTAGACCTTTAGAGGCTGGATAAAGCAGATGGCCCGCAATTAAACAGCCTGCTTAAATATAAGCAACCTAAGATTGCGACTTTACATCCTCACCATTTGGTCAAGGTCCGCTTTTAAAGGTCCTAAGGTAGTTGATACCCGCAGGCATCAGAGGGCATCCATAGATGTACCGTTCCCGCACCGGGCTATCTCCGCGCGCTGAGCGTTTGAAGATACCATGCAAAGCCTGCATGTGCCCTAGTGTATGGTTACAGCAATCAGATGCCGAACTGGGCGGTGTTCCGCCAGTTCTTTCTCCGTACGCGAAATGCTTGAGGGGAGTTGCTATTCGCTGGGAGCATTGCCATGCTGGTAGTCAGGTGCGAGCGTGGGTGACAGCTCCCCAAGCTGTACGCGTGTTTCCCCACCTCTCTGGCATACCATATTAGGCATAGAATGTCAACCGTAGTTGACGGAGAGCTATCGCATGGATAGCAGGACGCTAGGCGTACTCAGCTCGTACGG